GAGAGAGAGAGAGAGTGAGAGAGAGAGAGAGAGAGAGAGAGAGAGAGAGAGAGAGAGAGCCAGGCAGCACGCTCCTGCGGCAACAAGCCGGCAGGATATCTCAGCATAGCTGCATGTAGCTCTTCGCCAATACTTAAATGATTCTTTGAACAGCTGGGCGAACTGCACCATAGTTGCCCGATTTAGAGGACCACCTACCGAGTGTCGTAGGGCGCACATTCTGTGCTCTCACGCAGGACTCACACAGCAAACAGCACGTCTTTCAACTCGATGGGCATGCTCTCTGCGGCTTGCGATTTATACCGTCGGCCGATTCCCGCCCACCAGCCCGTGCCACACGTCGACACCGCGTCTTCAGGTGTCGATTGCCTACCACCCTACCAACATGACGATATCCTTGCTGCCCGTTATATCGGAGGATGGCCGGGAGTTGCGGTGGGACCATCAGGCGGCGTCCGTGAGCTATGTGATGGGCGTTGAGCAGGTATGATGGGTTATGCCGACCTCTTCCTGACCATATCCTTCGGGCGTATTGCCCAAACGTCGGCGGTACGCGAAGGAGATGCCGCTGCTTTTCCGGCGCGTATCTACGAAGTACATCCTTGGTCGAGCCCGTGTAGGCCATGGTGGTGCTGGAACAACCCTCTATGTGTTTGTTGTTGTTTTTTTACTGGCAGAGTTAGTCTACTGCCAGCACACCATGTTCCTTGCGCTGCTGTGCTACACCGTTCATGCCACCGGAGGTTTTGCACTTCACTCTGTCTCCACTATTTTGTATGTCTCGTTCTCTATTCACACTCACATTCACGTGTACACGCAAACCCCCAAGGTTCGAAAGAGAACAATCGCTCTCCGCCCCGCGGTGACATTCATGATTTCACCCCTCTCTGCCGCGCCTTGTTTTGAATTTGACGTTGACGCTGCTGCTGCCGCTGCTGCTGCTGCTGCATACGCTATCGCACAGGCGTACTGGAATGCCGGCTCGTATATGGGGGAGACAACAGGCGCGTTTTTCAGCTACGCTGTTGAGTTCAGCCTTGAGTACCACCGGCTGCACCCCCGGTACCAGCCGTTCAGCGTTTACGAGGACTACCCAGGTACGCTGCTTCCAAGGCCCCACCCCCGCGTGCTTTTTTCATGCAGCAGCAGCAGCAGCAGCAGCAGCCGCAGCAGCCGGGTCTCTTTGAGCTCAGCGGGCTCTGCTGCTGTTTCTGTTATATCGCAGTGAATTTCTTGGAACAATCGTTGCTACTCCTGCCAAGGACAGCCGTAGTTGCTACTCGGGACAGCTGCCTGCTACTCCTGTTGCCTCGACACACCCCCTTCATCACACGTCCTTGTGTTTTTTTCATCTTTCGAAAAAGTAACCGTAGAATTTTCTGAATCTACTGGTTATCTATCACGGACTCTTTTATCTGTGGAGGAGATGAATTTGGCATGTTTGTGGTAAGAAACAAATGAAACATTACATGCTTGTGGGGTCCCAATAAAACAACACTTTCTGTAGGCCGGGAATTCTTGACCGCCAGCGGCTGCGACGAGTTCGTCTGGGCGCTCCTCTCCGCGGCGCAGACCAGGGGCGTGCGGCTCATCCCGGCCCTGCTTCCCCAGAAGCACAAGATCGTCATCTATTCGCACTCCAAGCCAGAGATCATCGTCTTCAGCGGGGACGGTAGTAGCGCCAGCGGGGGGGGTAATGGGGACGCCGACGAGCCGGTGGAAGGTGGCGCGGTGCCGGGGGAGGCGGGGGGTGGCAGCAGCAGCAGCAGCAGCAGTAGCAACAGCAGCAGCGGTGGCGAGGTGGGGGCTTCGTCGTGGTCGTCGTCGTCGTTGCCGACTTCTTCGGGGGGCAGCGACGCCGCGCCGGTAAGAGAGGAGGAGGAAGGGCATGCCAGCGGCAGCGGCAGCGGCAGCGGCAGCGGAAGCAGCAGCAGTAGCATGAGTCCGAGCGTTGATGAGACCCGCAACAACAGTAGTGTTAGCAGCAGTACTGGGCAGGAGGGGCAAGAGGAAGATGGCAACGGTAGCAGCGCCGGTGGCGAAGAGCGGCAGCGGCTGCTGCGAGGAAGAACGCTTCTGTGGGGTTCGCCGGGCTCGGACTCCGCAGGCAACGCAGGAGAAGCCGGGGCTTTAGACCGAGAGGCGGGGGAGGTCGAAGATGAGGGGACGGAAGAGCCCGGTGTAACCGGCGTCGACGAGGCGGAGGCAACCGGTGCGCCGCTGTCCACGGTTTCCCCGATGGAAGCGGCGGTGCAGACGCGCGCCCCCGCAGCAGAGCCGACAGACGAGTGGCAGGAAGTGGTGGGGTATTACCAGTCGCTGCAGTTGTGCCTGCAAGAGGTGAGGAAGCCAATGAACGTAAGAGAACGGTGATGATATTTTGGCTTTTTGCGCATGACGAATCGACCGATGTTTCATTTTTTGGTGATGAGACGAATCGGCCGGACTCGGCTAAGGGGGTACATCGGTGTTTTCGTCGGTGTTTTTTGACGCCGGCTCTCGATAGCACGTGCGTGTGACACTTGCTGAGCGCGCCCGCAGGTATAATGCTCGGGCGCGCACGTGGCGTGAATCACCGGGTTTCAAGTTGGCCGATCAAGCAGCCTAGGTTCGATTTGACATGCGGTCCACTCCCTCCCCTGCCCTTTTCCCTAACTCCCCCCCCCCCTGGCGCGCGCATGGCATCTGGCCTCCCTGTTTCAGCGCAAGTTCAGCTTCGTCACGTCCTTGAAAGACTTTGTTCGGTACTTCGACTGCCTTGACGACGTGGCGTTTATCGCAATCGGTCCCCACGAGTACTACAAGGTGATCGATGGAGTTTAAACGACGGGGAGTGGGGTGTTGGCCATCGCCTAGATGCCATGCCGATCGAGCCCTCTCCTCCACCTCCTCCTCCTCCTCCTGAAGCCAGGGGTAGCCGGTTACATGGCACTGAAATGTAGCGCGATTGTGCAGCAGGCGACATGGGATGAGTGCCTGGCGCCCCCGAGAGGGAAGAAGAGTACTTGAGGTGACGCAAGATAACACACCTCCCTAGGCCGGGTTTGAATTGGCGATTACTCCGCGACGAAGAGGAAAAAATCAAGCGATACGTCTCTGGAAAGCCCTCGACGAGACGGCTCCAATGCCGCCATTGTCGGCACCACCGCTCTTTCTCGAGCAATTTATGAAATCGGGTTTTGAAGATCGGTCAACAGGGAATGATATGTTATGTCACCTGTTAGCAGTAGTAACGATGCGTCAATGAGCGTGCACTCGAGTGCTTTGCCAGCACTCGGTATCGCGATCGTGAAGATCGACCGAAAAGCGACTGGAGAGCTCCATGCGATGCGGCTCCAGTTGTGTTGTCCGAAGGAGAGAGTGATGGAGCGGAAGCATTGCTTGCCTTGTTTCTTGAGCCTTTCCCTGTTGATTGCTGTTGGCTTATCTGTGTCGTGCCGTGTGTCTGTCACCGGTCCGCGAAGGTGAATATCACATCAACAAAGCTGGACCACATATCGCTGCCCGAGGAGCTGCCGGAAGTGAAACGGCGATATGAGAGCTTCACGTGAGCCCCCCCCCCCGCGTGCGCAGAATACTTTGCGGATTTCTAGTCTTTCACTCGTAATAATTTGGATTGCAGCTCGTGTGGCAACGTGTGCGAACTCTCATGATACCAGCGGTGTGTGTGTTTCCCGCACTCCTCGAACCGGGTGGTGGAAACACGCCGCGATTCCGACTGTGCTGCACCGTAGCGAGCTCTCTGTACACTCCGGCTTCCCGTTCCTCGATTGCCGCATTCCCACGGCAAGCTAAAGGCGGGAAGTGATAAGTATGGGATGGTGGGGGAAACATTTTTGAGAGATCTTTGGCAAAGTAGGAAGGAGCGATTGACCATCGGTGGTCGGTCCTGTGGGGACAATACTCCGTCCTCTCGAGGACGCGTGGTCCATGGTATGACCACTATGGCATTCCTACAACAAGCTTGGTCACTTGACCAGCGGACCGTATTCGCAAACACGCACACCGCCCCCTCTCTGTTTACTACTCGTAAACTTGTAGGGGAGTGGACACCGCGCTCGCGGTTTGGATCTTGATGATCATTGCGTGCGGTATTCACGGAGTACTCTGGCAAGCGGCTGTGATCCAGCACTGGCTCAAGTCGTACGGCAACGCGCAGGTAGGATTACTCTTCGTGCATGTTGTGTGGATGTTTGTGTTCGAAATTTATTACCGCGTTATGATGTGGCGGGGTTTTTCTTGTAGTCTGCCTCTGCTTTTAGCAGGACAAAGGACGTGGATGGGCAGCAAGCAAAAAGCAAGCCCGTTGGGAGAGCGATGTGAATATCTGTCAGCTACTTCACCCCCCCCCCTCCCTCGGGAGGCATGCCTACCAGCGTCAGGATCCACAGCGTCCATTGCCGCCTTTCCCCCTTGAGATGTACACGAGCACGTCCAATCTGCGGAACCCCCCCCCCCCCC